TCATTGACTCAGCTAGGGCAGTGAAGCCAATTGTGGCATTGGAATGTGGAATTGTATGCTTTCGTTTCGGTAGTGCCTTGAGTTTGACAGCATGTCGAACAAATGAGCTTTTTGATTCAGGATGTGGTGACTGATGAGTTGAAGGGATGGAGGGAAGAGATGAGAGGGAGGGAGATGGCTTGAGAAGATCGGGGTCAATATTGTCCTCAAAGCCAAGATCATGGCGCTTGCGAAGTCGTTCAGGGGAGGGGGTACATGACCAATTCTTGGTTTTGTCAGCATCCTACAGACATATATAAGTCATGACCTTGAAAGGAGTGTCAACATACCTTTGGTTCATCAGCAGTGGGTTCAGTGTCCTTGCTTTCAGGCTCCGGCATCTTGGTTGCATGGAATGCTTGGCATCCAGTTGTGCACTTAGGATTAATCTCTGCCATCTCATCAAAGAGTGGCCACCCTTTTTGATGGAATGGAGCAGCCAGAGGCCACTCCTAGTAATGTGAATATCATTATTAGCAATTAGTCATCGCAAATAAGAGATATGGGCTAGCAGCTACTTATCGCAACAAAATCAATCCATAATTGCTCCTCTTCCGGTCCTAGATCAGCACCATTTTCATTACTCCAGGGGAAGCCTGACTGTTCCGAGAGCTGTTTGACTGCCCAATATATCTGTTTTAACTGCGGAAAAGGTATAGTCAATACTTTGCTGAGATGCCGCAACTAGCAACTCACCTTGCCATATTTGTTCTTGCATGCACTAGGCTTGAAGACTGTCCCACACTGCTCAAGTAGTGCGCTGAGGCACCATTCCAGACCTTGTCCTTGAAGCCAATATTAGAAGTACCACCTGCGCACTTAACTTCAAGAAGATGGTGGATGAGCTCTGCCTCATCATGGGACCTCCAAGTAGCCCACTCAGATGGTGTCTCAGTAGGAGTGGTGGCTGCATGAGTGGGTGCTCCTTTGGGAGGTCGATGTCGTTTGCTGCTGTTGATCGGAGCTTCAGATGTTGTGTTGACATATGTGTCAATGTGTTTCTGCTTTGGGGGCATAATTCACAAGTCTCAATGTCGCTGCATTCCATTGTAAAATTTATAAAAGGATCTATGATGAAGAAACTGTGTACCGAACAGTCATCAGTTTCTTCTCGTTTCTTGCCGAAACTGAAAGAATCAGGAAGAAAAAGCGAGAAAGAAACACGCAAATGATGGATTAAGAAACTGGAAGAAACAGGTCGAAGAAACCAGTTTCTTCAACCCGAACAAAGCCTTAATTTTGTTGTACATAACTTCCGATGCTGATTCCTCTGATGTACCATTTCTTCACTGTACATATCATTCAATGCACTTTCTGCATTATCCTTCATTCTTCCATGAATGCTGTGCAGGTCATTGCAATGCGAAGCATGCTGTAAGGGGGCAAGGGATCTACCACCCTAACGAGAAAGAGAGGGGGCCACAGAGTTGGTAGTGCTCAGGGGAGGTTCAGATGAAGAGGAGGGGGGGGAAATGGTCCGGGTGCAATGTGATAAAAATGATAAACTTGTAAATCTCACTGATAATCAAACTGATGGGGAACTCTGCCCCTGCACTATATCTTGAGCCTATTTGGCTTCGTATTCGCCGCTCTGGGCACTGGTAATGTCTGCTAGAACTTCATGTCTGTTGGGGAGCACCTCTCTCTGTTGGGGGAGTCCTCTTTTGTAAATACAGGAAAGAGGGTAACTATAAATATGAAAGAAATACGTGGAAATCCGAATGATCCGACGGGTTTATGACGACAACAGATCCACAAGGAACACTTAAGAAAAAAGCAATATCAAAGCAATATTAACGTTGTTAAGGAAATAAAGAAACATGGCGATCGAAACAATCGCTGAACCAAATGCGTCACTCGTAACATCGTTCGACTCGTGTTGACAAGGGCTTTCCAACGATACCAAATTCGTCCGGATCGGTGGAGAATTGATGGAGATATGGAGGAAGCGGTGGAATATGCGGGTGACAGTTGCCCAATTTGGAAACTGATGGTTGTGTGTGGTCAGGAATGGCTTGAAAAAATCGAAGAAAATATGGGAAACGTGGAAGGGGTATCTGGAACAGTGGTAGATGTGTTTCGGAAGTGGGGTTCTTGACATGGGTGGTAGAATCGCGATAATCGGCTCATTTGTGTGGTACTGGCTGTGCCCACCTACAATGCCCTCTAGTATAAATAATCATTTCTGTCTGACCAATGGCTCCTGATTGGCTCCTTCCCACTGCTTATCCTACCATGCTGACTATGGATCGGCCTTTGCCCTGTTGTAACTTCTGCCATCCGCTGTCTCAACCTCAGTCTGAACCAGTTCTCAGTTGTCTTAGGCAAGGGTTCTTAACTGGTGTGGTCTTCAGTGGTTCATCCTTTGTGCTCATTCATGTCTAACCACACTGAAGCGGTCCGTTCATGAAAATGGCATGCTCTTGAATCATCGAGCACTGCGGATTTACGTTGCCAGTGGGATCACCTCTCCAAGCAATGAAGACGTGTGAGTGGTAACCCATAGGGGTGCCACGGTCCGGTTCAGTTTGGTCTTTGGGTGATTTTTCGAGGACCAGAACCGGGACCATCCCAAATTTTGCTGTCCTGTCGAACCAGGACCAAACTGTAGGCGAACCAAACCGAACCACAGTTACAGTCCTGGGACCGTTCAGTTCGGTCCTGAGACCATCCCGGAAATCTTATTATGAAGAGAGTGTGTATGATAGTATGTATAGTGGGAACTGGTACTATCAACTGAGCATCAAAACTCAAGATCTATTCCTTCTCTCTCTGCATGATCCAAGATAAGATTTGCCTCAAATTCCCGCCACTCTTGAACCTTCGCTTCCTCTGAAGCCTTCCTCTCCTTGTCTTCCTTAAGGCGATTCCATTGTATGTTGGCTTTGGCGATCTGGATAGCACCGAGATGCAGAGGGGTGAGACGACTCCAGGTGTCGCTGTCAGTGTGTTTTGTGGCAGAGAATGCCCTTTCACATGGGACAGAAGATGCGGGGACCGAGAGTATGTCTTGGGCAATGGACCTGAGGACTGGATATGCGGAGCCTTCTTTCTGGGAATCAGTATAGGTTAGTTCAGCAAACAATACCATTGGAACTAACAATACTTACCATCCAGAAGTTGAGGATGTCAGTGCCAGGTAATTCAAGTGGATCACTAAGATAGCATGTGAGCTCTGCACCAGGATTGTCGCTAACTATTTCTTGAGCTCGTCAAGCTTGACTGGCTGCAAGATGGCAAGAAAGACCATAGGGTATTTCATCAGTCAAGGGAGTGGTTGCTATAGATACAACGTCGCCTCCAATCGTCCTGGTTCCATTTGAGGCAGTGGACCGAGTCATGTAGGTAGAATGATATTCAATAAACTTGTAGTCATCAGTGACAGTGAAGCTCTGAATGTTCGGAGTAACATACAACATTCTGGACACTTTGCATCGCAGTCCATTTGTATTGCAGTGCAAAATAATGGTTGATATAGGAATCTTTTGTTGTTGGATCAAGAACTAGATAGAGTGTAGGCAATAAGTAGATGTTTTGATTTATGCAAGATGTTTCATACCTGTGCTGAGAATGGCAAGAGGTGACACATCCGTTTCATCATAATATTTCCCCATAATAGCAATGCCAGCATCGAGTGCATCATAGATGTAGGTGTCATATCCATCCACAGCCATCACCCTCGACCACCTCCGCTCCTCCGCCACTAACCTCGGAGCTCCTGGTTTCCACAATCACCTCCGACCCCCCTGATGGTCACCACCTCTCCAATTCAATATATTACCTATGCCTCCCTAAGTACGGAGCCCCGAAGCTCTCCAGACAGCCTCGACGTCCGCTAGCGCATTCCCGCCTCTGCTGGGCAATTCACTTGCTTGCCCTGCAAGTCTACCTTTGGGCCTATCCCTCCTTTCTGTCATATCCGTGCATACCTGACCCCGATCTGACTTCCGGACCTCCACCCTCTTCACCTCCGGAGTCATAACCTACCGCTGCCGTTCCGATACTCACCTTCGGTCTTGGCAACACACCCCTCCTCTTACCTCTCCGACCCTTTCTCCGTCCGTTCCGATACTCATCTCGGACCGAACATCGCCCCACTCGCCGCCTGTAATGTATTTCTCGCATTTTCCCTGCATCCCTATTTGGACTACTGCTTCTTTCTATTCTAGCCAGTTAGTCATCATCCCCACTTCCCCTCATCCTCCTGCCCCTCTGGCCTCGCCCTCTCTACCTCCTTTCGGACGTATCACAGGTCTTGCCCTATGACCTTCGGTACCGCTCCGCCCCCTCTACCCTTTGTTCCCGTTTGGACGTCTTCGTTCCGATTCGGTCACCCTTTGTTCTCTTTGTGCTTTTGCCCCTTCCATTATATATATCAGCGCTTGTACATACTCGTTTTGGTTTTAGTCCGAAATCGACCTGAAATGCCCCCAAGAGACTTCCTGCTCACCTACTGTGAAATTAAGGACCAAATGGACAAACAGCAATGGCACAGCGCTCCGCTTGAGTCGCTGAGGCCAAGGTCCCTCCACGCTAAGTCTCCGATTCCACTCCGGAGTCGTCTGTTTCCGCCCGTTCTAACACTTTCCACTTGTGGGTCATAACCCGTCATTCTGTTAAACCCACAACCCGACTTGTCGGTAATATTCAGTCGGCTAACATTAGCTCCACTCCGCTTGGTCCTGCTATTCATGGGCTCACCCTTGCTGTAACTATATATACTTAACTTGTACATAGGTTACACTTCAGTGATAAAATCGACTAGAGTTGATCCCCCTTTAATTCTCATTGCCAGTAAGTAAATTAGGGCACAGACATGTAACTTGGCACAGCGCTCCTGGTCTGAGTCGCTGAGGCCAAAGCCCTCCGCCATGGAGACATCTCCTTCATCTCAATCCAGTCTCTAACAGTAGGTATATTTCGGGTTTTTTTGCATCCCCTCCCAAGTTGTAATCAGCCCCTCATAGACTGAGAGTAAGTATGGAGCACTTGAAGCCTTCGAAGTCCCAGAGAATGATTGTTGGGTATGACCCACAACCTATACACAAGAGTTGCTATGTGTGTTTAGCAGAGAAAAGTGGTGGGAGCATACCTTGAGCGCATCTCTGATTATTTCCATCATATTCCAATCATTATCGCTGAACACCCATGCACTGTATTTAGGTGTACGACCCTTTGCCTTTGGTACAGAGTCTTTGCGGTCAGCATGTTCAATGAAATGCATAATAGCCTATCATCAGAAAAGTGAGGTTATGAGAGAATAACTCAATAACTTAAGGTAACGTCGCACTGGCCACAATTCAATAAATCGGTTCAAAAGGATCAACCATGATCCCCAGCGTGTGTTCCCATACATCATGAGTTCCAGTGGTTTAATGGATACCTTGGCACAACATTCTCTCAAATAAAGTTTTGCGCCAGGTGACTTTCGGATCTGTTGCAATTGTATGTCAGATTGGGATATTGTCACAGTAGAATCATACTCACACGAACAATTAGGGCCCGGATGCGGGACAACAATGGCCCAATCAAAGTGCCCCCATCCATAGGAATCTCAAGTCCGCTTGTGGCCAGCTCAATCTCATCGTCATCACCAGTATTGCCACCGAGAGTTTCTACAAAACCATCAGTATTGCCAGTGAGAGCACGAATAAATGCTTGTTGTGCTAAGTTGACAATATGGGCCATGCATCTAGATGATGCACTAACTATGTAAGCTGAGAGTTCAGCATGACAAACATGACAAACCTAACATGGTAACAGCTTGCATCCCATCATGTGTTGTGTTCCTCACTGAGAATCTCACTCATGACATGCATTGCTGCATCATTTGTTGATGCATTGTTGGTGAAGAAATTGCACGTTGCCTTCCCGGACTTACTCCATGATATCCAAATGATATAAACCAGGTGACTGGACAAATGACATAAAATGGACAAGCCTGGTATCGAACCCAGGACCTCTAGCATGCATCCATATACTACTCGCCCATTATGCCAGGGAGGTTACTCCATCCCATATTCCAACAGTCAGATGTAATGTACCCAATCTATGAGGTAATTACGTTGAATGATTAGTATCAAACTTGGATGAGTAGAGAATTAGTTGAACACTTGCCTTCATTGTTGGTACCATTTTAGTGATCTCTGCCAACAATTTATTTGCGATATTTTCGCCCATGTGAGGTCCATCAAGCTCGCAGAAGGACATTAGCTCAGAGTGGACATTCCATTCGGTGTCCAAGAAGTGACATGTTGTCATATCCATACAATCCCGACCTCCGCTCCGGGCTCCTGGAACTCCGAACTCCGACTTCCGGAGCCCTACTTCCCTTCCGTCACCTTCTCCTTGCCGACTCCCAAGAGGTTATCCCACCTCCGGCTCGGACACCACCTTCGGTCCGACTCCAGAACATTCCGGGTCCGACCCCAACCTCGACACCTTCCAGATGAGTACGCAAAACCTATGCTCCCGACTCCGGACCTCCGCTCCGGTATCCCGTTCACGTCTCGTCTCCGGAACCTCCGGTCTTAGCTCCGACCTCGGACTTTGACCCCACCTCCGCTTATACCCATTGTATTGGTTAGCCCATTCCATTTAATTACCTTTGCCAATATTCCGGAGTTTAACCTCCGAGTTCGGACTTTCCGGACTTACTCCGGACCTTGCAACTATTGCATTGTCCATTTCAATTCCGCTATTCTCCCTCATTCCTATTTGGGCTGCTGCTTCCTTTCTATTCAGTCAGCTAGCCATTCCCGACTCCCATCCTCCTTCCTTCCTTCTTGGGCCTTGGCCCTTCATTCCTCCCTTGGGAAACACCATTGAGTCAAACACTTGACCCTCGGTGTTGTTCCTCTTTCCATCTCCCTTTGTCTCCTTTTGTCCTACCCTTGTTCCTTTTGATTCCGGACCCCTCCTTATATACAATGTACCTAGTAACTTGTAACCTCAGTCCGAAATCGACATGAATTCCCCCAAGAGACTTTCCCTCTGCTAGATCCGAAATTAGGGACCCCTAGGACAACCAGCAATGGCACAGCGCTCCGCCTGAGTCGCTGAGGCCAAGGTCCTTCCATGCTAAGTCTCCGATTCCATTCCGGAGTCGTCCGAATCCGCAAGTTCTAACACATGTTGTACCAAGAAAACCCCTCATAGTTGCAGAGGTCCACACATTGAAGGTGAAGTGAACAAGGCCAGGTGCTTCCTATAATCATATAGTAAATATCTATGAGTGACTCCCATGCGGTGATGACATACCTGAAGTTTACTCTTCAAGTTTTTTGTGACAGTTTCTGCATGTGCAAGAACAAGTTGCGTCATTTTTGTTCTGTGAGGAAGGTCCTTGTCCTTGTAGTGTGATGTAGTGCTGAGGCCCCCATGTGCCTGGAACTTCATTAGCCCACAAAATGATGCTGAGTCAACCAAATCAAAGCCCTGTTCGTAGTTGATGTCAGTTGCCATATAGCCAAAAAGCACACTTGCCAGATCATGCTCGATGATTAGGTCCTCAACCCAACGCAGCAAGCCTTCCACAGACCATGGTTCCTCATCATCAGCTGGGTGATAGAAATGTGTGATTCTTTGTTGGCTTTTCCTGTGATACATGAGAGATTAGTGCCAAAATGAATTGGAATTCAAACACTCACTCGCTTGCAATGAGAGCTTGCTTTTGCTCCAATCTTACAGCATTGGGAATTGCTCTATTGTCAGGTGGGATCCCAAGGGAGTTGCACTGCTTCAGATAGAGCTCCCAGTGCTCTCCCCCACTACAGGAAATGTGCCTGCAAAGTGTGCTGGAGCCGGAACCAACAGAAAAGTGTGGTGTCAACTGTTTTGATCGTCTCCCTTTGTCATAAGCCGATCTTTTGTGTGTAAGTGATCATTTATTAGTGGATTGATAGATATTGAGACTTACTGGCATACTTGACATACCCGATAGCTCTCTTGCCCATCCTGGATGACCTCAGTAAACACAGTTTCGAGGTCTTGCAGCCGCTGTGCTTTCTGAGATAACTTAATGGCTTCGGCAGCACATGCATCTCCATGGGCAAACTCCTCTGGATCTTCATTGGCCCCAGGTGCAATCTCATCATCACTGTCCCGATCCACCTCATTTTCAGACCCAGACATGGGTGCCGGAATCTTTGCTGCATCGTCAGTTCGAGCTCGTTTTTTCCTCCTGTGGCCATGCTTGTTGCGCTTCTTCAAAATGACTTGTTCTTTGGCTACTTCTCCATCTGATACTGAGGATTCCCTGGATGTTTCAGTAGGAAGAAGCTTGGTTGCCCTTTTATTTTTGTTCCTTGCAGTGAGTTTTTGCTGTTCCAAAGCCTCAATTGGATTTTCACACATGATTTGCTTCACAATCCACTTGGGCCTAGGAGTGCGATGAATAGTCGGCAAATCATCATTTGGGTTGTAGCCTTCAGAATTGGGGGGCAATGGGGTCAGATGTCCGAAGGGCTATAAACTGAAGAAATTCAACACTGCTAGCGCTATAGACTTATGTCATGAATTCAACTGAGGTAAACCAGGTGACTGGACAAATGACATAAAATGGACAAGCCTGGTATCGAACCCAGGACCTCTAGCGTGCATCCATACACTACTCGTCCGTTATGCCAGGGAGGTTACTCCATCCCTGATGGTTATTCCAACACTCACCCTCAATTTGGGGTGTTAGCCTCCAAATTGATGTACCATGGCTGTCCACCATATACAACGTTCCAAAGGTCCTTTACCAGATAGGCCTTCATATACATTGCCCAGGCCATGTAATTGTCGTCATTGAGTTTGTCAAAGGGGGTAGAAGCGGGCATGTGGGAAGTGAAAAATTAAGAGTGGGAAGCAAGCAGTTTGAAGAAAATTTCACCCTCTGAAGGGAAATTTCCGGTGGCCGTGAGAAGCAAATTTCGTGGCAAGGAGTGGAAGGGGAAATAAGGAGTATTGCATGCCTGTCTAAGGACTTAGAGCAAGGGGGTGATGAAGGGGTGCCAAGTCCGACCTTAAAAATGGGCGCCGGACTGGACTTGCATGCCCAACACAAACTTGAAGAATGCCACACACCGGCCTTAATGTTGGGCGCCAGGCTGGACTTCAGTGCCCAAAAACAATGCCTTAAAGGACTTAAAAGGATGCCTGGTGTACAGGACTTGACAAATGCTGCATGGGACTTAAGATACGGGGGATTGCCCCTGCCTCCGCTGAGGACTTATGAAGGCGGTCAACTGCACTTTGACCAACTGCCACGAGAGTCGGGCGGACTTCCTTGATACCTAAGCTTGTCCAGGCGAGCCGCCTGGGCTCATAACCTATAGAGAAAACTAAGTTGAGGGCGGCTGGACAAGAATATGGTGGACTCTTAATTAGGAAGGTATACAATACAAATATATGTAAATATGGGTTTCGAGGTCGTTCTTCCAACATAAAAAAATTGATCCAGTTTATCAGCAGCATCACGCAAATTACCATCTGGACCCAGCATTGGGTTTTCAGGGTCCATGTGCCACCCACTTTCACCACCAGAGAGTGTCTCCATTAGTAGGATTTAACAAGTTGTGACGGCAAAGTTGTATAGCGATTTCTTGGCCAACCCCGAATGTAAACTCAACACTGTAAAATTGCAAATGAAATATTTTATTAATGCTTCTGCAGCTTATATGTACATGATATAAGATTGAAATCTTCAGCGGTCCTGCAGTCCGGTTTGGTTTGGGACCGGTTCGGATTTTCCTCTCAACCTAGAGGACCAGAACTGAACCGCCACAGGACCAAGCCTGAACCGAACCGTGGTTCGGTCCCTGGTCCGGGACCGGTTCGAACCGGTCCTTTATGAACTTCGGCACCCCTAGTAACCCACCTGCTTCTTCATCCACTCCCAATCATGCCAATGGATCTGATGGCTCTTTGGCACCCATCAATCCTTCCCTCAGCTGTTCCGAGCACTGGCGGCTTTTTGCCTCTCATCAACCCAATCCTATTCTTTCACGATGGTGGTCAGTACTGTGTCAATACTGTGGTGTGCTCCTGCTAGAAAGTGAATATTTGGGTTGGTGTTGTCGAAATGGCTCCAAAGTGCTGCCTCCTCTACCACCTTTGCCCAATTTTCTCGTTTCGGTTGCAAATAATTTCCCCACAGATGCTGGTGAAGGCTCCTGATCACTGAACTATCTCTTCAACCTCAGTGCACAAGGAGTATCCAGTGAGTTTCATTCATTCCAAGGTGTGTTTTTTTAGCACCACTGGTGATCTATCTTGACTTTCTTTTATTAGGCCCTTATTCTTTATGTGTAACTGGTCGAACATATCACCGCATCATGCCGAGCCTTCGAGGTGGCCATCCTGCAAATTGGTTCCTCTACGATCCTGGTGGCGGCACTGCAGCTGCACTAAGATCCAATATATCTCTTATGGTTGTTAATGGTATCTATGAAGAATTGTTTGTACCTCAATCATCCTGTGGACCCAATCTTCGACAACATTCATTTCCTGGAATATTACAAGTTTTCGTACTGAGAAAGGATTTGCTGAACTCATCGATCCAGTACTGGAGGGAAAGTGCCTCATTGCCAAATGTTCCTCCTCGAATTGCAGTGAAACGGAAAAAATGTCATATTTGGAGGATTCAATCAGTGAGGCCAGGGATGGGCAAAATCTTTTACATTCAGGCTTTACTGTTGGTCTTTCCAGCAAGATCCTTCGAAACTTTACGCTGCATTGATGGTGTGCTCCATCCTTCTTTTCAGCAAGCCACTCAAGCCGCTGGACTATTTGCAACCGACTCTGAAGGTCTCAGTGCTTTACAGGATGCAGTGGCGGATTTTAAATCACCAGCACAATTGTGTTTCCTATTTGTGTTGCTGATCACTGAAGGCTCGCCTGTGATTCCCCTTTGGGAAAAATTTGGTGATGACTTGGCATGAGACTTTGCAGGGAATGTCAACAGTCCGATCAATGAATCTGCAAAGATGCGTGCCCTGCTGGAAATTCAAAAATTACTGCAGGAAAGAGGCAAATCCACACTTGACTTTGATCTCCCTCAAGTGACTCTTTGTTCTGCTGAAATTTCCGCTCAACTAGATCATTTCTGTCCACTGTGAGGTGCTCTACAGGGAAAAAGCACCCAAATGGTGGCTTCCTTTATGCCAGAACAGTGGAACGCTTACTCTGCACTGTTCAATGCAATATATGAACATACTGAGGAAGCGCACTCTTTCTTCTTTCTGACTGGGCATGTGGGTCGGGGAAAAACTCATGTATGTGAAGCTCTTCTTCACTATGCATGGAGTCGAGGCGATTTGCCCTTTGTTGTCGGTGCCACTGCATTAGCTGCATTGAATTACGATTGTGCTTGGACAGCACATGGTGGTTTCTTAATCCCTGTGGTTAAGGATGATAGTGATATTGTCTCAAGTCTGCAACTGAATTCGAAACACACAGATCTGATCAAAATTGCGCCTTTCTTCATTATCGACAAAATTGCTTTGCTTAACGTGGGTGTGGTGGAAGTGATTGATGATGTTTGCTGAAGGATCATGGGATTGGACCTTCCGTTTGGAGGGAAAACTGTAGTTGGGGTCGGTGACTTTTGCCAAGTTGCACCCATTGTCAAATTTGGAACAGAAATGGCAACTTTTTGCACATTGATTCTAAGTTGGTCTGTTTGGAGTTTATTTACCCACTTAGAGTTGGTTCTTCCAATGCATAGTGCGTTGGATCCCGGTTTATCGCAGTTCATAGATAGTGTTGGGGAGGATTATTCAGGAACTTGACTTGATCTTTCTACCTTCTTTTCACATACTGAGGACATGTCTTCAGTCCAATCGTTTCTCTTTCCAGATGAGATCCTATCCACACCACATACTGCAGTGCAGAGAGCGTTTCTGACTCCGTTAAATGCCTTAGTTGAAGACTTCAACATGGCAATTCTGGAGAGGCTACCAGGTAACATATGTGAGTACTTTACCATTTGAGTAAATTTCGTTTCAATTTAGTTTGTAGCAATCCACTTCAGCTACGACTCTGTAGTGGATGACGATGGTACTATCAACGATGACCATGTTGCAGCGGACCCCGGCTATCTGGCTATGATCACCTTGAATGAAGCACCAAACCACAAGTTGAGACTAAAACGAGGCATGATTTGTGTGTTGATGAGGAACCTCTCAGTTCCTAGGGGTTTGGTCAAGAATCAACGCATTCTTATTGTTAATTCCATGGCACGTTGGATCGAAGTCCAAGTTCTAAATTGACAGTCTGAGAGTTGAAGAACACATCTAATCCCCCAAATCAACTTTGACTTTAAACCGAACTATGCAAAATATACAGTCCATCGAAAACAGTTCCCACTCAAGTTAGCTTACTCCACTATGTTTAACAGTTGCCAGGGTCTGACTCTGGATCGAGTGGTGATTGATTGCAGGGAAGATGTCTTTGCACATGGGCAACTATACACTGCCCTAAGCCGTGTGCGACATAGATCCCATGGGATGCTGTTCTTGCCCGGGTCAAAATCAGACATGGCGAATGTAGTATACAAAAGACTTTTGGGTTGACATTAATGGGACTTGCTAGACACAACAAGTGGAGGGATTTAGTTATGTAGATATGATGGGTGGTGAAAAATGGTTATGTCTATTTTGTTTAAAGGATTGGGCATTTGTTTAATGAGAAGTTGAAAGGTGGTTCCTAAGTCATGCATCAACCGATCGCGGATGTGGGGAAATCACAAGTGAGACGTGGAGTAAAATGAGGGGTTGAAAGGTGGATCGTGCCTAAGTCATGAATCGACCAAATGCGGGTGTGGATGGATTATGAGTGCGACATGCAATGCAGCGGATATGAAAGCTGGGGCCAGCGGTTGTGAGAATAGGGATTGCAGGTCAAATGTGGAGTGAACTTGACAGTTCATGAATCAACCATGGTCAGTCTGAGGTGTATAAAACAGAAATTTAGGACTTGCAGAATGCATCCAGCAAAGGATCAACAAACTTACTACTCACTTACTACTCTTTGCTGTGTAATGGCCTCCAGTTCAATCAGTGGAATCTTCCCAGTGTGCTCAGGTGCTATGCTAGACGGTGTGAGATCAACTTTTGTCATGTGTTTGGCAGGGGAAGGACCTATGGATGAACCGAATGTGTGTGAAATTGGGCTGTTGTCAGGGACAGCTCTGAAAGCGGCAAGGTCCCAGCGCAAGGGACTTGATGGGACAGATGTCGGCTATGCGTAGCGGTGGTCCTGTTGTGGGGTGAGTGTCCCTGACCACTTAGTCTGAAGTGGGAAGTTGCATTATCATTAAAGGGGAAAAGCTATGGTACTTACCTGAAGTGGGAAGTTGAGAAGAAGGCTGC